AACATACTGGGAAGTTATTTGGAATGACTTAGGAAAAGCTCTGTACAATACCTAATGCTGCAGTCCTGTATGTATTTAGGAGTAAGCCGCTGTCAAGACAGCAAGCCACAATATTTACATTATCTTCACCTGATAGTGTGAATTCGCAAACTGATTCTCTCCCCTCCCGTCCCTCCAGTTCTGGCCAACATGAGGGTCCTGTATGTGGGATGCTGGCTTTCTAGACTAGCCGAATATCAGCAAACAAAAGAATTTCTTCCCTCTCCTGTCACCGCAGCAATGTGAGCGTCGGAGTAGGGCAAATTCTTTTCCAATACATGTTTTGTCGATGCCCACCTGCCTCCTGTCCCCATCTCTGCTCTTTGTCTTCTTTCTATTTTTAATGTGTGTGTGTGTTTTTCCAATTTCCCACTAAGCCTGTTGGACAAATTAAATTGTAAGTGCATAATTATGGACAGCCTATCTCTGTGTTGCTGCGGTTGCTGTGAAGATTGGGAGTTGGATTAAGCTGTTCTGGAAATCCATTTTCATCTGAGTTTTTAATACCTTTGGACCTGCTGGCTTAGGATCCCAGTCTGACTGCCAGTTCCTCGCTGCTGCTTTAGGGCAGTAATTGAAATGTGTGTTTGGGATCAGGGCTACCGTAATTGCAGGATTACGAGTTCCCTCCTGATTTGTATGTTTGTGTGTGTGAGAGGGAGAGTCATGTAAAATTGCCTTTCCCCAAAATTGCATGTGAATGAAGAGGCATTGAGCAATATCACCTCCCACTTAGGTTTTCAAGTCCTCAAAGGGACTTTCACATTTATAATCTCAGTGATCCTTACGCCAGGTTTTCTTATACCCATATTGCAGCGGCTGGAGGCTGAGATATAAATATTAGTTTGTGTAAGGTGCAAAGTGACCTCTTGACTGAGTTGAGATACAAACCAGGGGATTTCTAGCTCATGCTGTAGACCAGGCATATCCAAAGTCCATTTCAGGGGCCTAATCCGGCCCGCTGGTTGATTTAATACGGCCCCCGTGGCAGTATATGTCTTGGGGTAAAATCCTAAGAAGAGCTCAACAACTTTGGTCGGCCCTCACACATGTTCACTTCATCAAATTTGACCCTCTTTGAAAAATGTTTGGTCACCCCTACTCTAGACGAAACTTCCCCAATCTTCTGCCCCCCGCCCCCGATGTTTTGGACAAGCTCAGTCAGTACAATGTGAGGGTCAGATATCTCCATAAACTCCAACATTTCTCCAATGAAAATAGGAACATCCTAAGGAAAAGTGAGGGATGCGGGTGGCGCTGTGGGTTAAACCACAGAGCCTAGGACTTGCCGATCAGAAGGTCGGTGGTTCGAATCCCTGCAGCGGGGTGAGCTCCCGTTGCTCGGTCCCTGCTCCTGCCAACCTAGCAGTTCCAAAGCACGTCAAAGTGCAAGTAGATAAATAGGTACCACTGTAGCAGGAAGGTAAACGACATTTCCGTGCGCTGCTCTGGTTCACCAGAAGCGGCTTAGTCATGCTGACCACATGACCTGGAAGCTGTACGCCGGCTCTCTCAGCCAATCAAGTGAGATGAGCACTGCAACACCAGAGTCGGCCACAACTGGACCTAATGGTCAGGGGTCCCTTTACCCTTTACCTTTAAGAAAAAGTGGGACATTCTGGCATCAAATCAGAAACCGGGACGGCTTCTCTAAATCAGAGACACCCCTGGAAAACAGGGACAATGGAGGGTCTGGAGTTATGGGTTCAAGCACCACGTTGGGCAAAAGATTCCTGCATTGTAGGAGATTGGACCTAGAGGTCCCTTCCAACTTTTCTATGATTCTTTGGTTCTAATCACCACAAACTCCTATCAGCCCCAGCCATTGTCTGGGGCAGATGGGAGTTGAAGAATCAACATCTGGGGAGAGTTGTGGGATGTGATGCATAAGTAGCAGTCAAGTCCAACGTTCCTTGTTTTCCTAGAGTGGACATGCAAGGGGATGTTTGGACCAGCCAGTCGAAAACTTCCTGTTTCTTCCTGGGCTGGGACATACTTCCTTTTGCATGCGAGGTGGGCATGACCTTACCTGTCCAGGTAACAAAAGGACCAGGCACGCACCACAACTCGTATCTTTTTGGCTTTCTCCATCGTTGGACCAGCAGCTTTTTAGCTATAGATGCTCTATTGGCTATAGATGCTCTGTTCAGCCAACAGAGGACAACAAAGGACAAAGGGACTATATTCCAGTGGGATAGTTCCACATGTTTATATCTGTAACTAAGTCTGCCTTCAGGGATCCAACTGTGAACTGTGAGTAAACTTCTTTTATTGACTTTAAATAATATTGCCAGGTGTTTATTCTTTTATGAGAGATATAAGGGGTCTTACCAGGAACATACAATTCATTACTAAATTGTATGATATTGAGAGGCTTAAAGAAAGTCTGCAACCTGCTACCCGCTGTGCATTAAAAGAGGAAGGTAAAACTCTGCTAAGTAAAGGAACTTGCTAGTGCAAGTTAGGAAGGATATTAATAAACAATATATCCTCTCCTGCCTCCCTGAACATTCCCACAGAAGGGAGACTGCTTAGGCATGATGCTTCATCAATTTAGTAAGGAAGACAAATACAGCCAGGAAATGGATGAGGTTTTTGTCCAGAAAGGAGTACAAAAGGATTGCTTCTCATAGTGCCCCAACTGCTTTTACAGAACATTACAGATCTCCAAGCGACTTAACAGCAAAAAAAGATATAGAATGCATATTACCTGGGAGGGGGGAATAATAGAGTAGATTAATATTTCATATCACATAGAATCATAAAATTGTAGAGTTGGAAGGGACCCCGAGGGTCATCTAGTCCAACCCCCTGCAATGCAGGAATCTCAGCTAAAACATCCATGACGGATGGGCACCCAACCTCTGATTAAAAACCTCCAAGGAAGGAGAGTCCACAACCTCCCAAGGGAGTCCGTTCCACTCTCGAACTGCTCTTACTGTCAGAAAGTTCTTCCTGGTGTTTAGTCGCAATCTCCTTTCTTGCAACTTGAAGTCATGGGTTCGAGTCCTACCTTCCAGAGCAGGGGAAAACAAGCACGCTCCCTCTTCCATGTTAGAGCCCTTCAGATATTTGAAGATGGCTCTCATCTCTCTTCTCCAGGCTAAACATATATAACATCCATTAAAACAAAAGCCTACTCAGTTAATAAACAGATAATAAACAAAGCAATGCTCAGACCCACCAATTAACAAATAAGCAAAACCCCAACCTCCCCCCAGTCCAAAAATCATTCACAACAAACCAGCAATTTCGCGTGCCCCCATAACCTCCACAACGCACCCCGAAGTCTGGAGTCAAGGGCAGCTGTTACAAATCGGCTTCTCTCAAACCACTTTAAACAGTCTCAAGTAGCTCACGTGGGGAAATAGAGAGCAAGGAAAATAAAATCAAGCGGATATTGCTTCTTTCTTGATCTGTGCTGGATTTGACCTATGGAACTCCTCACCACTGGTTGTTGGGAAGGACATACAGTGCTACCTCGGTTTAAGAACAGTCCGGTTTAAGAACGATTTGGTTTACAAATTCCGCAAAACCAGAAATAGTGTCTTCGTTTGCGAACTTTACCTCAGTCTAAGAACGGAAGCCGAACGGTGGAAGGGCACCGGCGGCGGGAGGCCTCATTAGGGAAAGCGCGCCTCGGTTTAAGAATGGTTTTGGTTTAAGAACAGACTTCCAGAACAGATTAAGTTCGTAAACCAAGGTACCACTGTACATCTGATGATGCAAGAATACCTCAGCACAGCTACAGTTCAGGGAATTGGCTTTTTGTGCTCATCCTTTCAATGCCCTTTCTCCTCACATACCACTTAGCATCACATTGCTGACTGTGTAAATTGCCTTCCCCAAGAAAGTTTTGGGGTGGCCTTCAGTGACAAGGGCGCTCTGTCTGCTGCGTTGGGTGTGGAGGTGTGGTTCACTAACACATTCAGATCTTCACTTCACGCTGCCCTCATCCAGTAGCGAAAATGTATTGTGTGGAAAACCTTAAGTCAATGACTTCCCATTTCCAAAATGAGGAAAGCCTGGGATAAAGGGAGGTTTGTTCAATGACCAGACCATACGCCTTCAAATATCTGGACTATTCCAATCATAAAACTAGATATATTAAATAGCCCGAATGTGAAGGCAATTAAAGGTTGGCGGTTCGAATCCCCGTGACGGGGTGAGCTCTCATTGCTCGGTCCCTGCTCCTGCCAACCTAGCAGTTTGAAAGCACGTCAAAGTGCAAGTAGATAAATAGGTTTCCGGCGGGAAGGTAAACGGCGTTTCCGTGCGCTGCTCTGGTTCGCCAGAAGCGGCTTAGTCATGCTGGCCACATGACCCGAAAGCTGTACGCCTGCTCCCTCGGCCAATAAAGAGAGATGAGTGCCGCAACCCCAGAGTTGGTCATGACTGGACCTAATGGTCAGGGGTCACTTTACCTTTAAGAAGCGTGAAGTCAGCACTGGAAAAGCCAGTCTTCCTTATAACTTAATGTTATGTTACATAAGCTTGAAAGGTACTCTCCTTTGATTTAGCAGCACAGCTCTTGCAGAGAGCTCAGATCCTCTAACTCTAGTTAACTTACGGAAAGAGTAAAAAAATCTCAGATCTTCTCGTTGTGATATGGTGGAAGATCCGCCTTTATAGCCATGGGCTCCTTTGTGCCCTCATATTTTCCCAACTTCTATGCTTTCCCCATCTCTCTCTCCTTTCCCCATTTCTTATTCTTTCTAATGAGAACCATCCAGACCAGTCATAAATGGGTGGCTGGGACTGATGTACAAAAATGAAGACTCCAGGGCTCCTGAAATATGTGGGCTAGCTTCAGTTTTGCACAACCTGCTTTCTTTCTATTAGCATCCCTGTGGCCCAACAGAAGAAGGAAAACTCTGCCCCTAAACCAGGCATAGGCAAACTCCGGCTCGCCAGATGTTTGGGACTACAATTCCCATCATCCCTAGCTAACAGGACCAGTGGTCAGGGATGATGGGAATTGTAGTTCCAAACAATCTGGAACTACAATTCCCATCATCCCTAGCTAACAGGACCAGTGGTCAGGGATGATGGGAATTGTAGTCCCAAACATCTGGAGGACCGGAGTTTGCCTGTGCCTGCCCTAAACCTCCTCTGCTTTATGGGACATCTTCCGGCGTAGAAAAGGGTAAGGTGCCAAACGTCTTGCTCTGCTTTCCTTTGGACCACATCAGCGAGGCTGAAAGTGGAGTCTTGTCGTCTGGGCAGCCCAGGACCTCCACACACACTGCCCAGACTTGCGCCCCAGGGACGTCACTTCGGTGCTGCTGACGCAGCCGTTTGACTTCACCCCCGGAGCATAGCTGTCAAGCGTCCCTTATTTGGCGGGACAGTCCCTTATCCCAGCGCCATGTCCCGCTGCTGTCCCTTATTGATGATGTCCCTTAAATAAGCTACTAAAGGTAATGGGGCCCTTTCTATGTCCAGCTGTCCTTTGTCAACAACAAATTGTTGCTGCTTTTTTGTGTTGAATATATGCTATATGGTAATTTATGGACCTAATAGGTATCTAAAACCATTTGCATGCAACAAAATACGTATTTTATTAAAGTTATTGTTGATCCCTTATTTTGGCTGCTGATCCCTTATTTTTGAGGCTGCTGGTCCCTTATTTTCAAATCTGTAAGTTGACAGCTATGCTCCGGAGGCGCACTCCATTGTCTCTTGAGACAGCCGGATGCCAATGACTGTAGCCTGCTGGTGTGTCTAGAATTTACAAAGCCCAAGAAGTGCATTTTTGGGTTCGTGCACAATCCACCTCCACTGAGTGATCCTCTTGTGCAACAAGTCTTTCTCGCTCGATCCGACTGAGGTCTGCCTAGGCCAGCGTTCGTTACGAAAACCGTAGCAGCCGACAAGAACCCGGCAGCCCAGTGGAAACTGCCCGCCCGTGGGCTGCAAAATTAATAATTCTGTCCACCCCTAAGAGGGCGTTTCAAGTGCAGGAGATGAGAAATTGAGATGGGCCAGATCCCATCTTCTGCACAAACATACGGGAGCCCCTGAGGCACGCCCGGTTCTGCCCCCCAAGGCAAATTCTGACCCACTGGACCCTGCCACCGAAACCTCCTCCCCACCGCGATCGCCTGCGCACATCCTCCATGCTCCTGCTTTCCCCTTAACCATACGGTCCCTCCCTAATCCGTCCCCTGTTCTATTCCAGGGCTGGGATTTTCAATTAAGGATACTTACTGTGTCCCCCTTCCACCCCCTCCTCCCACTGCCATTTCCCTAATGAGGGGTGGCTGGTGGTAAATTAATTGTCCTGACAGTGTGACCCTAATCCGCCTGTGTATTATAATTATAAGGGGGTGAGTGTGTGCAGGCTGAGCAAAAGACCTTGGTTATTTCCAGACTGCCGCTTTGTAATTAACTAGCACGTGGCATCGTTAGGCCGGGGATTACACGAGCCTTTTATTTATTTCCTTTTGACTCATTAATTCCTCCCCCCCTCCCTCCAGCCTCGGGCGATTAAATACCTCCTTGCATGGCTGTCCCTTTTAAAGGGTCTGTGGGCTACCTTTGGCCCCCTAACCGGCCTGTCATCTGCACCTCCTTCCCGGCGGACGGACCTTGGCCACTTTGTTTTGTCCTAGTGGGGAATTAATGTTAATTAAAAGTGCATTGTTTTCAACGCTTCCTGGATTACCCTCTGCGGAATATTCCTTTCCCCGGCCTCATTTTAAGTGCATTAGCTTAGGAGGAGGAGGACGTGAGCAAGTGGCCAATTATGAAATTGGCTGCGGCGCAGCTGAAGGTGCAGGGCAGATTCACACATGCAGGGCATTAAGCCCTCTTTGAGGGCAGGACCAGGTGACTACCTGCAGGTGTGGAAGGGGCCCTGGACAGGTATAACCTGCACCTCTCTTTAAACAACTGTGATTTGGTTAAAAATGCTTGCTTAGAGCTGTTAGGAGCCGCATTAGAAACTCAGATACAGTGGTATCTCGGGTTAAGTACCGTATTTTTTGCTCTATAAGACTCACTTTTTCCCTCCTAAAAAGTAAAGGGAAATGTGTGTGCGTCTTATGGAGCGAATGCAGGCTGCGCAGCTATCCCAGAAGCCAGAACAGCAAGAGGGATTGCTGCTTTCGCTGCGCAGCGATCCCTCTTGCTGTTCTGGCTTCTGAGATTCAGACTATTTTTTTTCTTGTTTTCCTCCTCCAAAAACTAGGTGCGTCTTGTGGTCTGGTGCGTCTTATAGAGCGAAAAATACGGTACTTAATTCGTTCCGGAGGTCCGTTCTTAACCTGAAACTGTTCTTAACCTGAAGCACCACTTTAGCTAATGGGGCCTCCCGCTGCCGCCGCGCTGCCAGAGCACGATTTCTGTTCTCACCCTGAAGCAAAGTTCTTAACCTGAAGCACTATTTCTGGGTTAGCGGAGTCTGTAACCTGAAGCGTATGTAACCTGAAGCATATGTAACCCGAGGTACCACTGTATAGGCTCCAAATGGCACCTTAAACCACAACGGAATGCCTCTTCGCCAGGTGGTTGGACTAGATGACTCTGTGGGTGCCTTTTCCAACTCTACGATCTCAACTGCATTCCTTGACTGCAGCTTGCTCTTACAATTCGCTTGTCCCAGTATGCAAGGAAGAAACACAGACGGCGGAAATGGAATTGACTGTGGACCGCGGCAGAGGTTTTTCAACTGCGGTCGCCAACCTGTGGCGGCCAGAAATCTCTACGTGGCCGCAGTTGGGCCCACACCAGTAGCAAAATGCTCCTGGGGAGTTTCAGACACTGACGAGGAGACCTCTTTAGAGCTACAATTCCCAGCACCCTTAGCAAACTATGGTTCTCAAGATATAGTGATGGAGGGTAGAGAAATTCTGCTATGTGCATTATGTTACTTTAAATAGTCCTGGCTCCTCCCACAGAATCTTGGGAACTGTAGCTTGCTGTTAAGGGTGCTGAGAGATAGGAGGCCCCGATTCCCTTCAGAAAGCAACAGTTCCCAGGGACGTGTGACTGCTGGGAATTGTAGTTCTGGGATGGGAACAGGGGTCTCCAAGCAACTCGGTGCCCTTAACAAACCATGGTTCCTGGGATTCTCTGAGGGAAGCCATGACTGTTTAAAGTGGTTTGGTCCTGCTTTAAACCCATAGTGCAGATGGGGCCTAAGTTCTTAGAGCTCTTTTCCTGAGTTTTCAGGCTCTGAAGCAATTTGCTTTCTGCTATCATCCCAAGATCAGCATGGCGTTTACAGTGCTGTTTTATTTGCTTAGAAAACTCGGCGTAAATTTGACCAGATAAATTCCCTAAAAACCCTAAACCTTGATGCAGCATAGAACCATAGAATTGCAGAGTTTGAAGGGACCACGAGGGTCATCTAGTCCAACCCCCTGCAATGCAGGAATCTTTTGCCCAATCTGGGGCTCGAACCCACAACCCTGGGATTCAGAGACTCATGCTCTACCAACCAAACGAGTGGCAGTGGTTTTCTGGGAGTTTTAGGTTTGCTGGCATGTGGTTCTTGCTCTGTTTCTGCATCTGAGACTGCATTTTAGTATTTTGTTTGAAATCTGCAGCCTGCAGGTTCAGTTTCCTCTCTCTACATCACAATGTTGCACATTTTGCTGACCTGCCTGCCTGACCTGAGGCTCTGTCGTTTTTCTCAGGCCCTGGGGCTTACCCTTGACACTGAAAATAGGCTCAGGGGCTAAGCTCCGTGGAGCCCGATCTCTGCCTCAAGTGAAACCTTAGATATGGGGAAAGGGGGAAATACTAGGGAGAATTTATAAGGGGAAAGAGGGAAAGGGTGTTTGTGGGTTTGCTGGGGAGGGCAAGAAGGTTCAGACAGACTTCCTAGCCCGCTGGCTGTGCAGATGATAGACTTGGTGGCCCTTGCTCTGGTATATGGAGGCAATTTTTCGAATAAGGAAAAACACATACTCAAGAAGACCACTTACCTGTGAATTATCTAACTTATGTGTGCAAGTTATGTAACTTTGTGTGCAAGGACATGCATGGAAAGGAGTGCTTGGGACTAGCCGGGACTTTCTCAACTACCTTCCTCAACTATTTAGAGACCAACTTAAATCTAGAATGTGAAATCCCATTTTTAAGGATGTACGGAGTTCAGGGTTAAAGTTGCCTCGCACTGAATCACTTTGGACTGCAGCTGGTGGGGCATAGCTGTCAACTTACAGATTTGAAAGTAAGGGATCAGCAGCCAAAATAAGGGATCAACAATTACTTTGATAAAATACATATTTTGTTGCATGCAAATGGCTTTAGATACCTATTAGGTCCATAAATTACCATATAGCATATATTCAACACAAAAAAACAAAGGACAGCTGAACATAGAAAGGGCCCCATTATCTTCAGTAGCTTGTTTAAGGGACATCATCAATAAGGGACAGCAGCGGGACATGGCGCTGGGATAAGGGACTGTCCCGCCAAATAAGGAACGCTTGACAGCTATGTGGTGGGGTGAGGATTGCATGGTGCTGGGGTTTTTTGTATGTTGGGATTTTTAAAAAAGCATGTCAGGGTGATGAGTAGGCTGAGCTGTTCGCCCTGATATCCGAGATTTCTATGTGGAGGGTGTTCGGGTTTTTTTCTATTGGAGCAGGCTAAACAAACTGGGCAGATGTTATTGACCGGTGTTCCAGTGCCATTTTAAGGATGACTTTTCTTTTCTTTTTTCTTTTTATTGGAATTTTATTTACAACATAACATAAACCCCTCCACCCCCCCTTAAGGATGACTTTTCAGCCTGGCTAATTAGCTGACCAATCCTTTCTAGAGCACATCGTTTTTATTTTTAACTTTTACTGCGGCTTTCCAGTAAGAGCTGAAATCAATGATTTCATGGATGAGTAATACCTGGACCTAATTTTCAGTGACAAAGTCTGTGACACAACCAGTGGCCTTTCCAGTTAAAGATTTCCAGCTGCCCGTCTTCTGGTAAACACGTCTGCTAGAAACGACAGAGAAGAACCGCCGCTCAAGGTGGTCCATGCTAGACTATTGGAGCATTTACTCTTGACTGTGTGTGATACCTTAGCATTATTCAGTTAATGGGATTGATATCCTGTTCGTCCGTAGGCTCCTAAAGCAGCTTACGAAAAGTTTGTGTTTTGAAATGGGCAAGGTAGTAAGAGTACATTCTGCGTATGCTCAGAGGTTCTTGTATTTTCTTGCAATCTGATACGCCAAACAAACAAACCCAGAACAAATAGAGATAGCTAATCTGTGATATGGGGAAATATTGGTTATTGATTGCTAGTTGCTCATTTGGGCACTGAAAAGGATGTGTGTTTAATTTTTTTATTTAAATAAATAATCTGAAAGCTTGGCTTACAAGGTAGAATCTCGATATCCCACCAAAGGCAACAGGGAGATTGTGAGTGGCCGACATGCTTTAACTTAGTTCAGAAGTTGGCTTTTCTGCTTCTTTTGTTTTGAATACGCAAAATTTGGGTTTTGTGCAAAATCTGGTAATCTGACTTGTCAGAAGGCTGCATTGATTGCAAGCTCACAAATGCAGCCATAGGCCACTAGTAGCTCTTAAAAAAAAATCCCCTAAAAGCTGCAAGAACATAGTGCCCAATTACATATTTGCATGGTGTCATTTTAGAGTAGGTTAGTGAAATTTTGCACCTGCCTGAGTGCAAATACACAAACCAAGAGAGGCGGGAGGGGGAGTCAAAGAATCACCTAATTCTCTAGCTCAGTGGCAGAGCAGATATTTGCCTGTAGAAAGATCCGATCCCTTGGCACCTCAAGTTTAAATTATCTCAGCCACAAGCCTTGCCTGTGAGCTTGGGGAGGTGTTGTCCATCAGCATGGCCAAGAGTGGCTGAGATGGACCAAAGTTGTGATTCCTGTATCCCGTTCTTTGTGATGGTGGCGCTGGGCTGGAGGAAATTTGCTTCTTCACCTGGGCCGCCCCCAGCTACATCCAAAGCAGCAAAGCCTGTTTTTCATTCACAGGTAAACTCATAAAGAGGGACTTGTGAGCGTTTTATACACTGGAGAGCAAAATGTGCTGCAAGACTGCGTTCATTTTCCACTTGTCAAAAAGGCAGGCTCTCACAAGTAGACGTCTGTGCCCCCTGTAACATCGAAAGATGAAAATAGGGGAAACTCTTGCATACATCTGACACCCCATTTTCACCCCAAAGTTCAGGGCTGCCCCCCCAACCAATTACACACAAATGCAGACTCAAGGTTTTAGTGCTGTATTACATAGCTCTCCTGCTGCAAAAGCTAGATGTGTTAGTAAGCTTTCCAAGCTGTTTCATTTTATTCTTTTTAATACAACGAACACCTGTGGCCTGATCCTTGGCATGTTTTCTCGGAAGTAAGCGTGCGTAGAATTTCAGTCGTTGCTAAGGCTGAGGTACTGCCTCTCCCCTCTTTCATCGAAAGATAAGGAATAACGATAGCAAGGTTCTGCATACACTGACTTTGGGGTGAGTCCCACTGAGCTCTGTGGATTTGACTTCTGTCCCCCCAAAGGCAAAACAGGACCTGGGAAAGGGCTATTTGTAAGAGGGGTCCCCGTCTCAGGTGGTCGGTGGCACGTCTGTGGATTTGCGGCTGAGGACGTCGCACCACGTTAAATTCGCTTTTGATTTTTATTTCCGTGGCTCCTTTTGGAATCCGCATTGCAATGCGATAAAACGCAAGTGTTAAAAGGACGCAATAGCAATACTCTTAACAACCATACAGCATCACAATGTACTACAGTGGTACCTCAGGTTAAGTACTTAATTCGTTCCGGAGGTCCGTTCTTAACCTGAAACTGTTCTTAACCTGAAGCACCACTTTAGCTAATGGGGCCTCCTGCTGCTGCCGTGCCGCCGGAGCACGATTTCTGTTCTCACCCTGAAGCAAAGTTCTTAACCCGAGGTAATATTTCTGGGTTAGCGGAGTCCGTAACCTGAAGCGTATGTAACCCGAGGTACCACTGTACAATCGCTACCACAGACGGAAAAATAATTACGTGCGGCCTGCCAAGACCCTCAGCTATTTTCAGGTGGTCCCAGGGACAGGAGGGAAGGATTGGGAATTGCTGATTTAAAAATAAGGTCCATTCCTTTGGGGGGGGGGAGTATGTTGGTAAAAGCAACAGATGCTCTCCGGAGAAACCTTGTGTGCCAATTAGCTTCGCCACGGAGGCAGCCAATTCGTGGCGCCTGTTTCGTGGCACCTCTGCTCTCAGGCTGAGGCCTGCTCCAGGGAAACAGCAGCCGTGGTACCCACCGTTTCCCATCTCGGGGGAAGCGCTCCCCACATCCCCAACCACCCTCTCCTGGGCATCTGGACCTCCCCACTCCACACAGCCTGCGCAGGACCCCAAGTGCCTGCTTCTTCCCCCAACCCCGTCTCCTTGAGAGGCCATCAGAATTAATCCCAGCCGACGTTGGGAGAGGTGATGGATTACTGACTTTGTGCCAGCAGGGTGGACATCTTGCCTAAAGTCACCTCGGCCATGTTGCCCCCTCCCCTCCCCTCCCCCTCCCCCCGCCCTGCCTGCCTGCCTGCCTGCCACACTCCCGGATTAGTCTCTGAAATATAGACCGTGACAGCTGACATCACTGCCTTCCTTCCTTAAATCTTCCACATTTGGGTGGCTCCTACCTCTTCTTTCTCTTTCCCCCCTTTCTTCCAACCCTTCACCCCCTTCACGGCCTCTCTCCTCGCCTTCTCTCCTCCTCCGGGCAACCCCTTCGAGGTCTGCGCCACCGAGTCGCCCAGGTGAGCCACCCAAGTTTACGTCCCAGCTTTTCCTACTACCACCTTTCCCCCCCTCTCCCCTTAACAGGAGATATATGATTATTTGCAACTGATCCAGCTTTAGAGGGGTTTAGCTCCCTTGATAAAATTATATCTAATGATTTAAAGTCCTTACGCTTGTAATACAGCTTGGGCCGGCTTTACCGCGCTTAATTAAAAGTACTGCCAGGGGTTTGGAAGGGCCATTTTTTAAATTTCCTCCTTCCCTTGCAGATAACTTTTTGTCATCGTCCCCCTCTGTTGGGTGGGGAAAGTGGGACCTGTTCCTTTTTGTCTCTTGTGAGTGCGGATGAAAGAATTGGGCTGCTGGGCTGGTGATGCGGAAGACGATGTTGTGTAATTGCTGGCTACCAATACCAAAAAGGAGAAAAGGATTGTTTCGGGGTTCTTTTTTAAGTTGAGTTTTAAAAAAACCAAACCAAACCAAGGAGCGCCAAGGGATCGTTCAGTTTGGTGGATAAGGCAATGTTCCGTCCTTGAGGCTGTTAGAAAAAGGAATTGTGCATCTTAGAACCAAGGACCTGTCAATTTGCAGTATGCTAAAATATATGTGGGCAAAGTCACGCCCTTAAACTGATATTCAAGCCGCAAAAAAGGCCCACGATCTTGCTGTCAGTATCAGTACAAAACAATTTTGATTACCTCCTTTCACACCCAAAATGCCTGCCCAAAATGCTGGTAA